AATGAATAAATAAAATCTTAAAAACAAAAAAAAGTAAAGGGGCAACATGTTGGACTGCCAGGACCAGAAATCCATTCATATTAGTTCAATAAGGAAGGAGAATTATTGAATATCTACTGGACATTCTATAGGAATCTACAGGGGAAAAAAGGTGCAGACAGAGATAGTGGCTTCTTTCTCTATTTCTTTTGCTCTGAAGCCATAGGGCCTCTTGTCTCTGTCTCCCTCAAGCATCTGTTCCTTTGACTTCTATTTTCTGCTAACACATGATTTCTTTGCTCTCCTTCATTTTGGCTGACATGTGGCTTGGTTTGCTACACAGATGCCTTGGGTCCTAACTGTATGTCCCAATCCACTCAGTCTCTTAAGTCAAATACTTGAGGCAGAATCTAACTGGCATGGCTTGGGTTGGGCCAGTCAGACGTGGTCAGAGGCAGGTTCATCTGATACAAACATGGTTATTGGGGCTGCTGAAATGAAGGCAGATTCTCTTAGAAGGGAGAATGAGCAGGAGAGAGTAAATGGTAAATCTAATATACTAACAATGCTGAAAATAAGCATTATCTACCACCTAGAGGGTGGGTGGATGGGCTAGGCTTTCAAATCCTGTTGCCAAATTAAATTATGAAAGTTATTTCTTTTGTCCACCAAACAAACTTCTGGAAAAACTTTGTCTTTTCATGTAGATCTGTTAATAGGGAGAGAAGGGGCTACTAGCGCCAGAGTCTTTTGACCCTTCATGCAAATGTATATATTGGTAATATCATTTTGTTCACCCTATATCATCAACACGGTAGTGAGAGGCCTCCCCCAAGATTTACACTTGATATTGGCCAACAGGTTGAGAAGCGATGTCTTCCCACAAGTTTTTAAAGTAACATTTTGCTCCCTGGCAAGAAACTATGTAATGCTTCCCTAAATGATTAATTTGGACAGGAAGTAGTTTTAATAGGTAAGACTGATCACTATTAATAGGTTCTTTTAAAGATAGGATATGAATAATATATTAGCAGAAATTCATTATCGAAGGGTGATGTATTTAAATAAAGTGCTTCTACTAGGTATGAAATGCTGGCAGTGGGCTTGTTCTTAGAGAGTGCCTTTAAATTATAGAAAACTGTTAGGCCATGGTAGGCTAATTACTTATCCCCAGATGGAACATCTCTAAGGAATAACCTTGGAGTTAAAGACTCATAAATATTGCTGCATTGCCTGATTAGAAAAGAAAGATTTTATGAAGAACTCTGTGTTTGGGTCCTGGTTGTCTATTTCCTGAAGAACTCCACTGGAGGGGGTTATCCTTCCCCCAGTGGAAAGACAAGCCAGTGTCAAGGGTCCAGGAATGACCAGGTATGTGTTCTTAATCTTCCTTTCCTGCTGTGACACTGGGAAGAGCAAACACCATTGTGAAGTACATACCTTCCACCCCATTCTTTAGGGTCTGGACTTAAGAGTAGTAGAGCCCGAGATATAGATATGGATACATGTAACTATAGATACAGATATATATTCTTGAAAGTCCATTAATCCTTTGAGAAAATAATATCTAAAATTTATTCAGCACTCTTCACACATTTTAACTAATTTACTCCTCGTTAATCCTATAGAATCCCCATTATACAGATGCAGAACCTGAGACTCATGGAGATGAAGTGGCTTGTCCAAGGCCAAGCTATAAGACTGTTTGGCTCCAGGACAGACTCTTACCCATTATACTACAATGTAATTTACAGCAGGGAGAAGTAGAAGCACAGAAAAGATGAATGCCTTAATCCTTCCCTTTGGAAAGAAATCATAAAACATTTATGTAGGTTTTAAAAGGTGCTGGACTGAAGTAGTTAAGTGTACAGCTCTGGGGTCAGGCTACAGAGTTCAGTTACTGCACTGCCACTTTCTACTCCAGTGATCTTTGGCAAATCATTCATAGATTTTATGTTTTGGGTTTTTTTGGTAGGGATTAAATAAGTTAAGATGCGCAAAACACTTAGAATGGCATCTGGCATTTAGCCAATAAATATTGGATAATATTACTCTTCAATCAAAACTCTCTTTATAAAATGAAACAAAACAAAACAAAACAAAACACCTGTCTTCAAGCTGAATGTTATGAATGGTCTTCAGGTAGAAGAAAATTATCTAGCACTTAACATGCTTTCATGTTAGGTCAAAAGGGTCACAGATATTGAGATGCCTTGAAAGGCAAAAGCAGAATAATGAAAGGAAGACAAATAGATACCTAGACTGGTAAACTGGATGGTAAACTCATTCTGAGACAGAAAGTAAAATCCTTCCTTCTATACATTGTTTCTTTTCTGCTCCTTTAGGGACAGTTTTAATTCCAGGAACCACTCAGCTGACCCAGAAAGACATTCTCTACAGACTACAATCTTCGAAAGCAAAGTGCATTATTACCAATGAAGTTTTAGCCCCAGCAGTAGATGCTGTTGCATCTAAATGTGAAAATCTGCACTCCAAGCTAATTGTGTCTCAGAAACCCAAAGACGGGTGGGGGAACCTCAAGGAGATGATGAAGTGAGTAGCCATAACTGCTGCAGAACAGCTTCCCAAAAAGAAAGGCAACACTGAAAAGATATTCAACCCACAAGTGCTCAGAAAAATGAAAATTAAAACGAGGCAAAGGGAGCAACTGGTGATTATTGCTGCGCTAATAATCTGCAAAGCTCTGAAGCAGGAAGGAGCTTGGAGTGGTTTTTGAATGTTAGGATCTTGACGGAAACAGGCCCTGAGATAGAGATTAGTTGTGTAAGAAGTTTATTAAGGATTTGTCTTGGAGTCAACCCCTATGAAAGAAGGGGAAGGATGTGGGATTGGGCAAAAGAAGAAATTCATCTGCCATGCCCTCCCAGAAAAACCTTCAGCTAATCCACTGGGATGTCTGGGGCTTGGAGAGTCCTTCAAAGTTGTTCCCAGATCAAGCAAAAGGTCCTGGCCTTTATATACCCTCACTGATCAGTAACTGAGTGTAGGCTCTCCCTAGAAGGAGGGGTGATCTTGAGTGAGGCAGCTCTCTGCAGCCAAAGCAATCTCTAAATAGGGCTCCCAGCACCTGTGGGGTGTAAGTCCTTTGTTCTTGCAGCAGGATCTAGGAGGTACATTCACAACACCAACCACAGAGCTGTTATCTCCCAGAGAAACTGATCATAATCAATTCTTATGTGTAGACTATATCATTTCCTTGCAGATAGCAACATTTCAGGTTATAAATAAGAACACTTAATGGATGCAATTAGAAAACTAAGTTACATTGATGTTCAGTCCCTGCTATGGAATGCTTCCAGGGGTCACTTAGCCCTCTTGCCAGGTATTGGTTCTATCTTAGCTCTAGGCTGGCAGCCAGTTCCCTCTCTAGAATGAGCTTCCTACCTTTACTCAAGGATTTGGAAGCATGTTTGCAACTATTGACTTATTCCTACCTCTTCTAAAATAGCTAACATTTGGGATGCCTGGGTGGCTCCGTCGCTTAAGCGTCTGCCTCTGGCTCAGGTCATGATCTCAGGGTCCTGGGATGGAGCCCCGCATTGGGCTCGTTGCTCAGTGAGGAGCCTGCTTCTCCCTCTCCCTCTGCCTGCCACTCTGCCTACTTGTGCTCTCTCTCTCTGTCAAATAAATAAATAAAATCTTTAAAAAATTAAAAAAAATAGCTAACATTTATTGAGTTCTTACCGAAAGCCAAGTACTGTTCTAATTAAAAAGGTTATAATTGCAATAATGGGTAACATTTATATGGCACTGGTTATGTGCCAAAAACTGTTCCAAGCATTTCACATATATTAACTCATTTTCATGTCACAATAACCTAAGAAGCGGGTACTATAGTAATACAAATGAATAACGTCAAATGCTAGGATCTGGGGCGCCTGGGTGGCTCAGTTGGTTAAAGCGACTGCCTTCAGCTCAGGTCATGATCCTGGAGTCCCGGGATCGAGTCCCGCATCGGGCTCCCTGCTC